CTATAAAGTTGTAGCATGCCAGACGATCTTGATTGAATGTAACTTTGCTCCACACAAGTTTTATGGTAGACATATTCATATTGGTATCTAATAAATGATTAATTCTTAGATTTTATCGAACGTTCATTTATAAATTGTGTCTGTCTTTATGTGTTTGTTTCAGATTATGCAAGATGAAATTATTCAGTCAGCAAGACACTTGCTGCAGTTGCTGACATCATCCAACCGAACTGCTGCTGTGATGAATCAGAATACAAGGTACTTTAGCAAGACTTATGAGTTAATGCTACAGTTAACTAAATAATTGTATGTATGACTGACTGACTACAACGAATATGACTGCACATTTACGCCGACATCATCCTGGTGCAAAGACAAGTGGAAGCAGACAAAAACAACAAGCATGCATGCTACAAACTTTACCCGAGTCATTTACACAGCTGTTAGCACATGATTCTCCTTATGGGGACCTGACATGTTTAATATTGTGGCGAGCTCAGACAAGGAGGAGACGGAGGTATCGTTTGGTCTTGCTTCCCGTGAGCTAGCCAGGGAGCACAGCCGTTTATTGACATCTGCAGAAGAACACTGCCACTAGCTAACTGCTCAGCGCGGCAACCGCACAGCAACAACATCAACAACACACAGGGCGCCCTCTGACCCCGGAAGGACACACCGTCGCAGCAAGAGGGCGTCACCCGTCACTATGGCAACATAAACAAAACATAACTGTACAAACAGAACCCCAAACAGCCCTGACCCGCTACAATATGCTGCTGAGAATATAGCGCAGAAGAAGCGTATAGTATAGCTTTTATTTTGGAAAGAGCCATTTCTCTGTAATAAACTCTCTTTTCCAAAGATGGGTAATTATGTCATTGGCATCGGTGAGCCACTGTCAATATGTGACATTGAAATCGCGTTTGAATTTGCGCTTGTTTTTTTGCTTTCACTTTGCAATCGCGCGAACTGTGTATAGAGAGCGACAGCACTGATCTGTGAGTGATGATAATTTGTGCACCAATTCCTCTGACATCGTCTTATCAATCGTTAGCTTACTACACAAACATGACAAGTGAAATCTCCCGCAGCAAGCTTAACCCTTTAAGACCTACCATAGAACCAAGTCCGCCAGAGCTTATATTATATTTTTACATGCTGTGGAGCCATTTTTGGGAGCATTTCAAGTTGCTATACATCAATACAACCATTATAGCCCAGATTTTAATAATATGTATTCATTAAGTGCATAATAATTACATAAATTGCAAAAAAAGTGCAATAAACTACAAAAAAATTGAAAATCGTTTTTGCTTTTTTAACATATATTTGTAGTTAGAGAAATTTAAGAGGCTTATCCCTCAAAACTGTAAATACAAAAAAGTTGCACAAAATAGTTTCCCACCACAGGAAATTTATTTTGAGTGTCTTCATAGTTTTATTTTTGAAATACACCAATTTTTATACACTGCAGGAAAAACGAAAATAAATATTATACTGCAAATTTGCAAAAAAGCAGCATATGCATCAAAATAAACTATTTCCAGCAGTGCAATATGAGTGCTAAGCATCCCAGAAACGACACAGAAAGTCATAAAGTCAAACATAACTTTTAAAAAGACCAGTATAAGCCCTGAGGCCCTGATGGTAAAAAAGACTACATTTCCGCGAAAATGACGTCACTTCCGGTTTCGGGCAGGTAATGGCGGAAATGCAAAAGTTCGCGCTGACGTCTATTCCAACGTAGGAAGTGTTATGAACAGCTGATCGGATCGGCAAAGCGTGTTTCTGGAATATTATGTTTTTGTTCCTGCAAGCGCTTTTTATGCAGTTTTTGCAAAGCTTTATGTGGAAGGAAACCGTGACCTAGGACAAGCTGATGGCATAAGATGTAAGTACAACTCCTCCGGTTTCATATGCAAAAAAAATTTTTGCGCTAGCTTACGTGGTTGCAGTGCTACGGGGATTTAAAAATAGTTACGCAAAACAGAGCGTGCCCGCTCCGATCGGCTCTAAAGGGTTAAACATGTGAGAGGTTGATCGCGCAGAGAATCGCTGAGCTTATGTGAGTGTGTGTGTAAAAGCAGCAGGATATATATTTCAGTTCTGCTGAGCCAAATAAGACAGGTCAGGGTGAAGAAGTGACAGCCAAAGAAAAGCTTACCACAAAACGGAAAAGTTATGACAAATCAGACTATAAGGCAAAAAGAAAGTGCAGCTTTATGGTTTCATGGACAAAAGAATTTCTGTGGCTGCAATATGACGAGCTAAATAACCAGGGCTGCACATAAGTGGTCAGCAGGTGCGCATTCGCTGTCAAAATAAAAAACACGCACAAGGGTTAGGGTTAAATTTAAAAACTGTACTTTTGAGTTAAAATATATATTTATAATTTTAATAAATGACAAATTAAAAAGGCATGAACATTTTTTTTGTATCGAAAAAATATCGAACCGTGACACCAAAGTATCGAACCGAACCGAACCGTGAATTTTGTGTATCGTTGCACCCCTAGTGTGTGTATGTATGTATGTATGTATGTATGTGTATGTGTATATATATATATACACTCAACAAAAATATAAACGCAACACCTTTGTTACTGCTCCCATTCCCCATGGGATGGACGTGGAGACCTAAAATTCATTCCAGATACACAATATAACCATCCCTCCCAAACAGTGGTCACGAATCAGTCCAAATGTGTGGTAGTGGGCACATCTGCTATATTGAGATAATCCATCCCACCTCACAGGTGTGCCACATCAGGATGCTGATCTGACATCATGAGTAGTGCACAGGTGTACCTCAGACTGCCCACAACAAAAGGCCACCCTGGAATGTGCAGTTTTTTGCGTTATTGGGGGTCTGGGGACCCAGAACCGGTCAGTATCTGGTGTGACCACCATTTGCCTCATGCAGTGCAACACATCGTCACATGGAGTCTATCAGATTGTCAATTGTGGCCTGTGGAATGTTGGTCCACTCCACTTCAAAGGCTGTGCGAGGTTGTTGGATATTCGTGGGAACTGGTACACGCTGTCATATATGTATGTGTGTATATATATATATATATATATATACACATATACACATATATATATATATATATATATATATATATATATATATATATATATATATATATATATATATATATATATATATATAAAAAAAAAAAAAATAATATTTCTCTCTCTCTTTTTTTTTTTTTTTTTTTTTTTTGGGTAGTTCTCTCTCTGCTGGTACAGAACCGGGTTCTGCTGGAGGTTTCTTCTTGTTAAAGGGGAGTTTTTCCTCTGCATTGTCACTTCATGCTGCTCAGTGTGAGTAGGGCTGGGCGATATATTGAGTTTTTTAAAAATATCGATATATTTTCATACGAGATATAAGATGTGACAATATCGTTTATATCGATATGGTCTATGTTACGTTATAATTATACTTGTGGAGCCGCAGGTTTGCCTCTCTTTCGTCCACTTTTGTCTCTACGAAACGTTACTCGGCCTCGCCTCTCCTTCACTGAACACAACTCCGCCTCCCCCATAGCTTTACCTGCAGGCAATGACAAGATGAAAGCGGAAAATCTCAGTTAGCGAGTTACCGCGGATCGTCCCGTGCGTGGGGCTGGACGGCGTCAACGTGTTAGCGAGCTAACCACGCTAACGAGATGCATCCCGGAGGAACTGCACGGCCTAAAATCCTTTCATTTTCTCAAAACTCGACAGTGCGCCTTATGTATGAATTCTGGTTGCGCTTACTGACCGCGAACCGATTTTATGTGGTACACAGCGCTCAGCAATCTGTCAAATGTTTTAATATGACTTTGCTAAGCTACGGAGCTGCACCGCTTGATGGATTGTCGGAGGATTACGGCTACCGGGGAGGAGCCTCGCGGAGTGATACGTACCGTGCTTCAACGTAATATTACTACTGTGTGTGTATAAGGACCACAAATGGCACCTGTTCAGAGACGTGGTGCAGCTGTGAAATCTGTCTCTTTGTTATTATGCTCAGCGTCTATTAGTTTACATTTTGACTGCACAATTGTGAGCTTTTTGTTATGCACAAAAACAAGATTGTTTTCTTTTATTTATGGACCATGATTATTTAATAAATGCTGATAATTTATTTTTAAGTAATTTCTTCATGTACATCTACGCTGTATGTAAATAAAAGTGCCTGTGTGACATCTGGGACACAGTGTGACTAAGAACTCTCTTTTTGTTCTTAACTTATGGCTTTAAAAAAAAAAAAAAAAAATCGAGATATATCTTATATCGCCATCCAGCTAAAAAATATCGAGATATGAATTTTGGGTCATATCGCCCAGCCCTAAGTGTGAGGGATCGAGGTTGAGTCCACATGTCCTGGGAACGACACCATGCAATCTTCTGGGATTCCTTAGTAAACCTGTGAACTGCACTTGTCCTTGGTCTTCACAGCTCACCTTTTTACAGTTTATTGAATCAAAATGCTCCAGTGACATGGATTCTACATTGTAACTGATGTGATGTTCTATAAAGTGGGTTTTAATAAAGAAAAGGCAAAAATTGGTTTGTTTCTTTATTCAATTTTTGAACAGTGATAGTCAGTACATATTCAGTAAATGCAAATTATTTACACGGCAGTGCACTACAGGCATAAATCCAGACCCCTAGATAAAACATTATGGCATTATAGCAGTGACAACTCCACAGTAGCAGGTGGGATTTTTCTTTTTTGAAGATGGCTCCTTTAACCTGTCACTACAGATGGTCTGTTTATGTTTTGATCAAGAGCCTTTTTTTTTGGGGCAGCTGAAGAGGAGAAGTCCATCTTATGGCCAACCTCTGGCTGCATCTTGGTCACATTACCCAGCAAAACCCAGTATGCAGGTTCATCTGTAACAGTCCTTGTGCCACAGATCAACACTGTTGCTTCTACATTAAACAGAAGAGCAGTGACGTGGGTGCAGGGTGGCTTCAACCTTCCCTGTGATGCTCACAGTGACCCATGGCGGCAATGCTGGTTCATTCAGTCTTTGAGAGTGCAGTACCTGAAACACACAAAGTTAATTTAAATACAAGAACTATCAGCCAAGGCCGACATAAATGTGTTTAATCTACTTTATCATAAATGTAACAAAGTGTTTAGAAAGTTAGCACATACATGTAATTTTTCATTTCTTTGTGTTCATCTATAGAACGCTGCATGTTATAGTGTAAATCTGCCTGTTCTGTCAGAAACCTGCCTGCAGAAAAGGAACCTAAAGTATGTAATGCAAGGATGTCATCACTTTAGAGAGGGAGAAAGCATAAAGTGACAATTATGAATCACTTAATATGATAAGGAGATTCTGCAGGTCATTAATGTATAGAATTAAAATAAAATGTATTTTTAGTGACACAAGATACAAATATGGAAGCAAGATGTATAATCGCCCAGTTTGGGGAAATTGCAAGGGGCCTCAACTTCTCCATTCCCACAATGTGCAACAAATGGGCACAGCTGATCTTCAACAGTGGAACATCGGCCAGTTACTTCCAACTTTAACGCAGCTTGTAGTCTTGGAGAGCAGCTCGCCAAAACTGCATGCACAACTTCTGCTAACAGTGGAAACGGATTAAGAAATCCATGCAAACAGATTCATAAACCGAAAGATTATTTTACAGGATTAATTATCATATCAGCCACTGGCTGATCAAACCCTGAGGGTGTATAGAAGAAGCAGAGGGAATATCCCGTTTAAGTTTAGATAGTATTTGTAAAGATACTGACCATATCCTTTTCTGAAAGTGTGGATATAATGGATGGGGTAAGGTACTGACATGCTACAACTTTATAATTGTTAAATTCTGGGTACAAGTATACATACCCATCTTGTACATGTTGATTATTATTATTATCCTACCTAAATACATGTTTCTTTTAATCAGAGTATGCCGTTTTAATGACTTTACAATATCATTTACATTGTGTTCCTTACATTTTCCCTAATTGTATGTTATATTAATCCTATATTTCCGTTTTAATATTACTAATGTTTGCCTTGTTTTCTTCACTGTCTGGTCTGCCTCTGTCTTGCCTGTATGGATGCATTTACACCTAAATTTCCCCAACAAGGGATGTTTTAATTCACCACTATTCCAGTGAAACACGAGTCTCCCATCTTCCTGCTACCGGTCTCGAGTTTTTGTTCACCAAAGCACACACCAACTTCATAGTGACGGACAGATCACTGCCCTTTTCCCGCCTTGTCTGACCGTGTTTTGTGGCTTTGGTTCACTTCGCCTCACTCTTCCCCATTCCTGTTATTAAATCAGGCCGTTCTGCAACCATGGCAGCCATTCACTCTATGGCTTTATTCATGGTGTATTTTACCCCTTCACCAAAGGCCGTTCTCGTTCCCAACATTATATTTGCAGTGTTCGTTTATCTATCAATATCTGCGGAGTATGGTTTTGTACCGAGTATCCTATTTTCTAAAGCACAGCATGTAAAGGGTAGCTCGGTTAGCAGGATGCTAGCATGTAGCGCTAAGTGAGACACGCCTCAGACGAGTTGAGCAAAGACCCCGTCTGTGTACTTTATACGTGAGCAACGGATTTAAATAAAATTAACGTTTCAAAAGACAAACTTGAAGATAAAAAAAAACCAATATACTTACCGGAGAACCGCCAGGGTTTGCCGCTGCCATCTTGCTGCTCCTAAATTCAAAACTGCCTCTGCAGACAGGCAGGGGAGGCGTGGAAATTGTCTTTGAGTTAGTCAAACGTTTTACTTAGTTCGAGTAGATGATAAAATGAAAGAAAAATGAATGGGATTTTAAGTAGGACTAGGCGTTCTGTAATGATCTCTAGTTAGGAGAAAAACTTAATCACTCACCTTTAAACAGCTCTCTTTTAGGAGACACACTGCTGGCTAACGGTGTCATGTGATCAAACAGCGTAATTTAATTGGCTGAGAGCCGCTCGACTCGATCTAGTGCTGATTGCTCTGGCTTGGGTCATTCAAGTTCGTCACCTTTGCAGTTGAATTTTTGCAGGTGCAATTTTGCAGTTGAATTTTTGCAGGTGCAATTTTTTGCAGGTGAATATTTGATGGTGAATTTTTTGCAGGTGAATATTTGATGGTGAATTTTTTGCAGGTGAATTTTTGCAGGTGAATATTTTTGCAGGGAAATTTGGAGGGTAAAAATTCAGTGTTATAAATTCAATGTCTAAAAATAGTTGAATTCTGATGATACGATATTTCTTCCATAGAACTTGTCCCCCTTAAGTTGAGCAATTTACCGGAAAAAAACAGTAACCTCACAAAGTTATGCGCACAATGGAAGATACAGAATATATTAAATTAGTATCAACAAAAAAGGCCTTTAACTGGTGTAAACTGGTTTTTAAACGAGTCGACAAAAGCGCAAAAGAGAAGGGTATCCTTTGTTTTTTATTGTGTGAAAAGGATATAGTATAAAAATGTGTCATTCCCTTATGTACTTTATGTGTTGTGTACTTTATTTGTGTCCATTTTTATTCACGAGTGAGCCAAAAAAACAAAACAAAACAAAAAAAACCCCATTATTTTTAACCCGAAAAAATCAGAGGAACACCAATTAAAATGTTCAGATTTCTCTCTTCTCCCTCTCTGCACCCAAAGCCTGGCAGAGGGCTGCCACTTCGGTCCAGTAGCGGTTTTAGATACGGGCGACGCGGGCGATTGCCTGGGGCGGCATCGTGGTGGGGGGCGGCATCACGGGCATCGGCAAAAAAAAATGCTTGTACTCATGCTGCCCCGACGTAACCCAGCACATATTGGGAATGGTACAGGCACCGATCGGTTTTCTATCGCCCATTTGCTGGGAGTAAGGACGCCCTTCTTTTGCGAGGTGCGCCTGCTGCTTGCGACACAGGGAGGAGAGGACGGGGCGGTGGGGGATTCTCTGGTTGGCTGGAGTAGCATCTAATAACCAACTCGCAAAGTAAACAAAATAAAAACAAACCAACAAACACGAAAACACCAGACATAATACAGACTTATCATTTGCACCAATGTTTTTTCGAAATTCTATACACGAAAAGTGGGCGCGAGAGCCCTCGGTGCGCCTGCTTGCTGCTGAAGTCAAAGTAAACTTTATTGTCATCTCCGCTACAGTCCAGCAGTGTTGGTCAAGTTACTTGAAAAAAGTAATCAGTAACTAATTACTGAGGGAGTAGGGTAGGCGGAGGTTTACCCTGGTGCAGGTGTGCCGCAGGGTTAGGGGGGGTTTTTCGCTGTAAAAAGAAGTTTTCTTCCCACACACAACAGACACTAATGTCTTTGTCACTTTTTATGGAATCAAACTCAAAGTAAGGTCAGTACTTCCATGCTTTAAACGCTGCACGCTCATACTCTCTCCCGCACTCGATATATTGTCCGTTGTTGATCTGCACACAGCTGTTGTCACCAACGTCGCACTTGCTTACGTCACTGTCATGAGACATTCTCACAAAAAATCACGGTTTTAGTAACGCAGTAACGCAGCGTTCCTACGGGAAAGCAACGGTAATCTAATTACCGTTTTTGCAATAGTAATCCCTTACTTTACTCATTACTTGAAAAAAGTAATCGGATTACAGTAACACGTTACAAGTAACGCGTTACTGCCCATCTCTGCAGTCCAGTATATAGAGAGACGAGACGACGAGGCTCCAGTTACAGCAGTGCAAGTGAACAAACAAAATATATAAGAAGAGTAAGAAAATAAATATACACTTTAGGACTCGGGGTAAAGGGATCAATAACAATTTAAAATTTACAGTTTGATGATTTAAAGTCTCACACACAAGCTGTCGAAAGGGGAGGGGGGGCTGCTGCTTCCAAATAGAGCACAATTAATTTATAATGTTGTAAATCCAAGCCCATTATGGATTCATGATTTGAATCCTGGGTTGTGTGAAATCTCAGAAATGCACCCAAAGTGAATCTGTGAACTAAGGTGTAGGTCTTTTAGGTTATGTTGTGGTGATCCTCGAGTTGGGGGATTTGTGTTCATACTGGACTGCAAAATTAAAACCAATTGAAGATGGACAAGAAAAGTTCAAAGCCATCAGGTCCTCAGTTTAGAAAAAAAAGAGGAGAAACGAGCAAAAGATACAGATAAGCAGATGTGTCACTGGATAATGGCAGGTCATCCTGAAACAATCAGAATACTTTATTAATCCCTAAGGAAATAATGTGAGTAACAGTTGCTTCAAGAAAAAATGGTAAAAATAGCATCAGTAACAGACTAAACTCCAAACAATACATTATGTTACAGATTTTAATATTAATTAGTCATTGTCAATTTGTCCTGTTCTCATTGTATGACAAATTGTGATGGCTGTTTGGTAGCCGTTTGCATACTATGCAAACTCTCTCTCTCTTCACATGTGTGTGTGTGTACAACAGTTTTATGTTAATGTACAATCCTTAATATGTTGTGTGTGTGTGTGGGGGGCGCAAGAGGGAGTGTTCACCCAGGGCGCCAAACAGGCTACATTATCTTTTTTCGTTTGCGTTTTAAATTCACTTGTCTTGCTTATTTTGTCACGTTATTCATTCTTTTGCAAGTTTGGAAGAAAAAAAAAGAATCGTTGATTATCCCACAGCCTCACTGATCACCACTGCATGTACAACAGCACAGAAGATCCTTAGTATGTATTTAGTAACTAAACAAAAATTAGATTTTACTTTTCTATGATTGAAATGTATGAAATTCTTTGATCTTTTGATATTTTACCAATTCAGTGTAGTAATGCTTGGATCACCACACTGCAATAACATTTTGGTAAATATTTGCAATTATTAATGAGTACTCTGCAAAGCAATCCAGGGGCCTGAATACCACCTTATGCTGGGCTGCTTCTAAACAACATGCCACCCCTGCTTGCTGCTGGGTAAATGCATACTTTTCCACATGTATTTTCATTACTAATGTTGTCAGCCAAGTAATAATTACACATATGTAATTATCAAATTAGGACACAAAAAAATCAACAAAATTCCATTACTGAGTTTTTTTTTTATTTTGTTATAAACATGACTTTCCACAAAGATTTTACATTTCATGTTAAAACTATACATATATTTATATAGGTACGTGTAGGCTATACAGACATCTGTGCATACAGGAATAAAGAGCAGTGTTGTACGTTACCATACCAAGTAATACAACACTACTCCGCCTTCCAAAAATCTAAATATCTTTGCAGATTAAAACTGCAGGAGGTGTATTTACAGAAAAACATTCTCATTCTCTCTGAATGAAAAAATAGAGCAGTACATTCTCACTTTTGCTGTGTTTTGTTGTGTTTGTTTTTAATTTTAATGCTATACATATTGTAGCTTTAGAGAAAGCAGCTTAAAAATGTAGTGTTGGTATCTATAAGGAAAAGGGAAAATACACTCACATACAAAAAACTGAGACAAAGTAGAAGGTCGGGGTTTCTGCAGTTTTTAACAGATAATCACAATTACTATATGGTATATCAATAGGATCGATGAAAACAACGTTTATGTGCCAGAGAGGATGGTTCATGATAGACATCCAGTACAATCAGGATGCTCATATAAAGTACCACGTGGATTTTTAGAAGAATTACAAAACTCAATTAAGCGCATTAGTCAAGATATTCAATAACAATTATTTGATAATCAATAGTGTGTTACTGCTCTGCCCTCAGCAAAGACATGTCTCTTACAGGAGAAGAAGATAAAAAAATAAATATACATTGTCTTGGCAATTTTTTTTTTTTAAGGAGTGTTAGTGCTTTTTCGTATCTTTCAGTCCCCGCCTCTTGCAATGTTCTACAACTGCCAATTTGGGCTGGCATGTCTGCTAAGTGTCCAGGGAGAACATAGTGGCAGTGTCGACATACCCACTTACTGCCAGAACCCTTTCCTCCTGGACCGGCAGGGCAATGTGACTGCAGGTTGTTGGCTTAGGAGTGTTAATAGTGATGGAAGATGTGTAGCAGCTCTCGGCTGCTCCAGCCATTTCCATGCTCTCTTCTTCCACCACCTCTCTCTGGAGCAGCAGCACATTGTCACTGTTTACCCCTTTCACTTTGCTGTAGTTGTCTCCATGTCCTACCCAGGAGCAGGCTTCTTCACGGGTATGGCCTGAAGGAATAGGATGGAGAAGCACCTTATTCTCCTCATTGACCCTTTGCACTTCAACATACTCAGTCATCCGGGTGGGCAACAGCAGATTCCTGGGCGCATTTCCGTCATTGATGGCTGAGATGTTGCGATCGCTGTGGGCCTGGAGTTGCTGGTGGACATCTGTCTGGGGATAAGGTTGATTATTATTAAAGCAGACCTCCCAGTAGCTTGATTGGAGAGCCTTTTTGATGCAGTGGTCTGAGGATGGGGAGCCCGGAGGAAACTGGGTGTCAGAAAGGCAATTCTGTTTGTGCATCTCAAGTGAGTTGTGTGGATCCAGTGGGCTTAGGCTGTAAGGAGTCACTGGGGAAAACACAGAAGGCCAGGTCTTAACCTTCTTACTTGATGCATCGGGGCTAACTACATCTTCATTAGCACATAGCATCGTTTCCTTCTCCCAGGCTTCTTTGGGCCCTTGTGTCTCCGTCCCAATTTGATCTCCCTCCTGATTTTGTTGCTGCTGTTCCTCTTTTGCCGCGCCACTCTTATCCATCAACAGATTGTCACTGTCACAGCTGCCCCGGCCAGAGTCACTGTCGGATGCTGAGCCTATGGATTTCAGGCAGCCGTCATGATCCTTGCCTTCGTCGACCATCAGTTCCTGCTGTTCTGGCACATACACTTCTAAGTATTCTACCAGCAAGTCCTCATAGTTAGACGTGGTTGGTGGGAAGTCAGACACCACCAGTGCGCTGAACACCTCGTCAGACTTGCCACTCTGCACACAAAGAGTAAAACTACTCAATGCAATTAGAAAGCACTATACAAATATGTCTGTGAAGGTTCTCAGTCATCCAGGTCATCGTAGTCAAAGGAGCTTGCAAAGAAAAGCGTCTGGACTTCTTTAAGTTGCTTGAAGACTATAAAACTAAGGTTTATATCTGGGACTCTCCACCATTTGACCTTAGAACTGAAGAAGCTTCTTGGATGAGAGGTGAAACGTCTTCAAGCAACTTAAAGAAGTCCAGACGCTTTTCTTTGCAAGCTCCTTTGACCACTATACAAATAGACATTTTGTCTGAATAAGTAGCCATCGAGACAGTGTTCATAATGCCCTTTTACCTTGAGAAGCTGCTTGTCAAAGCCTTTGATTTTAGGACCAGGGACTGGCGGCAGCATGCAGTGCTTCAGACTTTACACACAGACACACAAAAGGCTTTGTTAGCAGCAGTTGAATATCACAGATGTGATGACTATAGTCAGTATTTTACTTGCAGTATGCTACCAAAGCCCAGAATGGTCACATTATCGCATGAGCTAATACAGTTATTTATAGTTGATTACCTGTGAGACATTTAATCAGATTTTTCTTTCCTACTAATGGAAATTTATACACGTGAATAAGATCATTCTGTGGTTTTTTTTTTTTTACAACAAAGGAAGGACTGAAGTCTCTGCACAGAAATATCCTTTAGCCATGTCTGGTTTTACAGAACAGTGTGAAAAATGGGCACCAGTGTGGAGTATTGATTTTTCTTGAGGTAAAGGGATAATTCAGCCACAACTCATAAGAAAATGTAAAGAATTTCAAATAATTTGATAGCTAAGTAATTGCAGTATTTTAGTAATAATATTCTACCGTAGGATCTAAATGTAAGTGTGAAGAGTGCTTTGGGCTTATGTAACATATGACAAAGTACAGTCATGGTGGAAAATAATTACATCCTCAGTCAATTCTAAGGTTTTGCATATCACAGTGTTAAAAATAACTATGTAGTCCTTAGCAGGTCTTAAAGCTCAGGTAAATGCAAGCTTTGATGGACCAAAGCTCATGACTTATTACACTCTATAATTATTTTAAAAAAAAAGAATAAAACTAATGCAATAACTTAAAGTAATTGTTTTCTTTGGGACTTTGTCAATCTCTCATTTCACTGTGAAGGAATTTTGGCACCCTCTTCTCTATAGCATTGCTTCTCTTCACTGAGGTTTGCAGGTATTCATTTATGCACAGCTCTTTTACGGTCCCATCACAGCGTTTCAGTCAGGTTGAGGTCTGGCTGGACTTTGAGACTGGGCCATTACAGCACTTTAATTCTTAATTTCTCTTTTTCAGCCGTTCCACTGTAGATTTGCTGCTGTGCTTGGGATCATTGTCCTGTTTCATGACCTAGATTCAGCCAAGCTGTCAGACAGATGGCCTCACGTGTGAATACTTTGGTATACAGAGGAATTCATGATCGACCTTGACTGAAAGATGCCCAGGCCCTATGGCTGCAAAGCAAGCGCAAATCATCAGCCCTTCACCGCTGTGTTTGACAGGTGCTATGAGGTCCCTGTGCTGAAATTCTGTGTTTATTTTTCACTAAATGTGGTACTGTGGAGCAAATCTGACAAAACCTCTGTTCGTCACACTTGCATTTGATTATCAGGAGCTGGCTGCTACTTACCGTCCTAATTTCTATAGAAGCAGTAATTTCTGCATTTTGCCTTAATATTTGTTAAATAAGGGACATAGTCTATGTCATTTGCTGTTGTTAATATGAGTTTGCGTTAACCTTTCAAGACATCATCACAGTTGTTTTGTCCTTATACATAAAAGCTTGTATCTGATTGAGGGCGTACTTTCTTATTACGTTCTGAAATTGCACAGAAACAATACATTTAAATAAATAATAACCAGCATTTTAACAAAGCAAAGTGGTTAAGAAGATCATTGTTACCTGTGGCTATTCATGTGTATCAGCCATATGAGGATCAGTAAAATGAAGGCAGAAAAGACTAAAATGAGGATCCAGACAGACTTTTCCCGATGGAGATCTGAAAGACGCAACATAACAATGTGTGGGTGCTTCAGCAGAACAACGCAGTATCCATCTTTTTTTCTTCTTCCTGGGTTTATTATCATTACATCATGCTAAAGCGAGGCAAACAAATACTTTTCCCAAGAGGCTGCATGACAACTGGGATTGTTGTGGAGGGCCGTACCAACAAACTTATAAATATTATAATACTGAGCAGAATTCCACTTTTTGGTGCGACCGTCCAGTTCCGGTTTGTCATGTGGCCCCTTGGAAAAATAAATATCCTGCAAAAAAAGGTAGTAAAACCACAATGAAGGAATACGATTTCTAGTGATAATTAAATTGGTTAAACCGGTTCCTTTGCAAAGAGCCAGATTAGCTTCCTTCTTTAACTTCTAATCTTCATGCTAAGGTAAACTAACTGAGTGCTTCAGATTATAAGAGTAGCTCTCAACAAGAAAGTGCTGTAATATAGATTCCAAAATGTTAAACTGTTCCTTTAATAAATAAATATATCCTATACAATATATAATAATTAGTTAATGCAAAAGACAGTTGGCGGATGTCTTACACTCTGGAACTTTGACGTAGGAAGTGGAACTCCATTCACTCCAAAAGCCGTGATCGGGCTTACAGCGCACCTGAATAAGGTATGTACCACCTGACCGCAGGCTGAAAATGTTAAACATCTTCTGCTGGCCCGCAACATGATTCTGGAAACACACATAGTCAACAGAAACACACAAATCAGTTAGTCTGTCAGGCTGCCAATATACAGATTTGAAATGTTCAAAAACCTGTCCTTTCACTAACACATCGTGTAGTTCCCTTACACCAGCCTAGAACAAAGTTTCAAATTTGAAAGGCAAATACTTCAAAGAGCATACCACACCCTGAAATGCGCTGAGACCTACGTACCTCCCATTCGCTTTCCTCCTCCTCCAACTTGACGCGGAGCTCATAGATTAGAGTGATCCAACCAGAGCGGGTGTCAGCCTTACGAGGTGGTTCCCAAGACACTCGAAGAAAAGGCCAGCCCTGATCCTTCATTACTGTCACTTCTAGCTTTTCTGGAGGATGAGGCTTGACTGGAGCAGAAGAGAGAAAATGTGAATGAAAGAAAGACAGAGCAACAGCAAATCCAACAATGAATAAAGATTGTATTACTGAAAAAACAAAAAAACCAATAGGCATCAACAGGGCTTGTGAACGGCAGCAGGTGAAAACACTGCAGGGTGAATTATCAGCTGTTACACAGCTAACAAAAGGACACTCCCAGCGGATAAGCACCAGCATTGCAGGAATGACCTTCAACATATTTGTCGATGTGTGTATTATGACATATAGTAGTGATAAATGTCACTGTTTGGGCTTTATGCTATCCTCGTGGAGACACATATCTGACAATTGTGAGGTAACACAAAGAAAAAGATAAGCAGATCAGAACAACTCGACACACTTCCAGTTTAGGAGGCTCAAGGACGAGATGAATACTTCTCTGTTAATTTACTCTCCCATTTTAAATATTTCATGAATATACTTTTTGTTTTGAAGGATGGAACTACTTCTTACTAAAGTATTGAATTACTTGCATTAAAGTACTTTATTTCTGTTAGCGAAGTAAATGATTGTCTAAAATAACTGGACAGTGTGCATTTTTGAAGCAGGAGAAAAGAGAGCAGATTTTCCATTGCAGTAAACAAGCGTGCATGTGCTCAAGTGTGACTGGCCCCCACCAAAAACACATTAGAAGCTCATAAATGATAAGGAGGTAAAAGAAATTCTTGTTACAATTTCAAAACACAAGAATGTTTTAACTTTGTTTAATTTAGCATTAGTTAATGCTAAACTTAATTTCAGTTGATTTTGTAGATCGTGCATCAGCTAGTCCTTTAATCGCTGCAAAGGAAATTTCACTGTGGACATTAAAAGGTGACCTTTAGTGAGCAGTTACAGCATAACGGGAGGGGGTGACTAAACTCCAAGAGCATTTGCCACAGTGTAGCGCAGTGTGCTGCCGAGCAGCTGTGGAGCTGCTTTTTTTAATCCCTGTGGTGAAATTATGAAAACCCCTCCACCCCTGCCCCCAGTCCCCTCACCAATGTAGACCACGTCTATATCCACAGGGTCAGAGTAGGTCTTGCCCAGTGCGTTGGTGGCCACCACGGTGATGTTGTAGCTGACCCAGATGACGGTGTCGTTCTTGTTAAAGAAGCAGGAGTTCTTCCCGGCTGTGTGGTAGTCAGGACACTCGTGCACTACGTTAGAACTGCAAGAGAGGCAGAGGAGCGGCATGCAATCACAGGTGTGCGCTGGCATTGTGCTTGCACAGCCACATTAAAATAACAGTGTACATCCTCCCTATTCCTGACACTGCACATGTGTGTGAGAGTGACGAGAGGAGACAGATGGTGAGAAAGTGTGACTGCAAAATAAGTGGAGGCCATCTTTTTTCTTTCTTTTTTTTTTTTACTGTCAAGCTGCTAGGATGTTGTATTTAATTAAAGGAGACACAGAAAATAACTTTGGTATTGTTTTCTGTTTGAACTGCAGGTTCATATCCCAGTAGACCTGGGTGTCATAATGAACACAACTGGGAGTGTTTGCATATAGAACATGGGAAACAAATTGTTGCTGCTGTCGTAGTAACTAGTGACGACTGGTCGGGGGACATGTTCAGGTGCGGACAACATGAGGAAAAATATGTGAGCCTCTGAATGCTGGTAAAGCTGCCTGCGACAAATGCATGCGAGCTGGAGACGGAAAAAATAAATTAAATCAATAAACTTTGGTTTGATTTCAGAAAACGTGGGGAAAGTGACTCATGTCATCTCTATGGTGAGCAGAACTTGCACAAACCAATTAATCAAAGTGTATTTGTTCTGCTGCTACACACTATACCACAGTGAACTGAAAGTTGAATACAAGAAGACATCAAAAAAGGAGAAACAATACAAAATACTACACCAATAATATAGCATTATAATGGTATTACTTTGATTTATTTATAGAGTTACTGAAAGAAGCACATGTGATGTGTCAGGAAGCCATGGCCTCTGTCAGTGCGCCCCAGGGTGGCTGTGGCTACAATGTAGCTTGCCATCACCAGTGTGTGAATGTGTGTGTGACTGGGTGAATGACTGGATATGTAAAGCGCTTTGGGGTCCTTAGGGACTAGTAAAAGCGCTATATAAATACAGGCCATTTACCAGGCCATTACCATGGCAAAACTGACTAAGTGGAAAAACCTATCCTAATAAATCTGCGCCATAAAGCATTTTAGGCAGAACATTAAATGCAAGATCATCAAATTAAAATAATGATGATTCAATTTAAGTTTCTTAAAGAAAACTTTGGGTACATACATGTTTGCAAGCTGCACAATTAAGACATGACATGTGCGCAGTGAAACCCGCCCCTGCACATACCAAACCAAACAAACAGGCACACCTCTGCTGCACTTGCAATAGTACAACAAGTATGGGGGAACAAAACAGGAAAGCTGATGTTAAAGGGAGACAATCTCAAGAGCGGTGGAGAACTGAGAGCTTCTTCGTGTAGTTTAAAGAGCCAGTCTGAGATTTCTTTTCTCAGTCCAAACACCAGCAGAGATTGGAAGCCACTGACTCGAGGCAAAAAGCTCCCGAACTGAAAGCGGCAATATATGTTTCTCCTAGCAAAATCACAAAGTGATGGAGTTTCATCACAGCAGAGGAAATTGCTGAATCTTCGAGGTTTGTGGTTTGTGAAAGTGCAGCATTTATTTGCAGCCAATTTCACTGCAGATGTCTCTCTTACAGGTGAAATATGTGATGAAAAATCTTTTACTTTTTATTTTCTTCATGAAATTTCCCACAAAACCGTTGTGTTGTGGTGCAAGAAAATATATGCAAGAACAAAATTACTGATTAACATATTTAGTACATATTCAGGCTGGTGAAACAGGTGGTTCACTATTGCAAAAATGTATGATATCCAAATCGTTTCGGATCTCAGGAGCTTCACAGTTAAACCTCAAAAACAATTTTTATAGCATGGTGCATTATATTATTGTGAAAACGGTCAAAAGACATAAACTACCACCACCACAACTACCTAAACCAATTTGTTTAGGTAGTTCTTATCGCCCAAAGTAACATCTAGATCAATGTCAGGATCTAGTGTTTCCCAGCAGGAAGTGGCCTTCAACCTCTGGGTGCCTTCATGCCATGGTTTATCCACTGCCATATCTTCTCTACTGTACTCTGAGTATTAGAAAATACTGTAAGTTAGCTTACGTGTTATATTAAGGAAGATGAATAATCCGCCATTGAAGACTGGAATAGTTGGAAAAGAACCTCAAAAGTCATAGCCCTCTAAAAGGACTATATGTCATAGAGGGTTAAGGGATGGACTAGTTTTTGGCAGGGAGCAGTGACAAAATAGATGTGCATCACCTTCAGGCCTTTATGCTAAGCTAATCAGAGCCTTAGTAAAAGATATGAGGAACGTTAACTTTGCCCTCCTCTCTCTGTTAGGTTTAAGGCAGGCTAGACTTGTTCTCCCTGTTTTCTTTTCCTCTTTGCTCTCAGGTTGAGTTATGGGCGGATTGCTCCTGCCACTGCCCATGGGTGGAGAGTAAATGGTGGTAAAATTTACCACCATTTACCACCATTGTATGGTGGTAAATTAGAGCCTTATGTTTGACGTTTGTTTGCAGCTGTTTCGATTAGTGATTCCTGCTTCTTGTCTACTTCCGTGTTGTCCATCTGGAATTCTTGGCAAGCTCATCAAGACACCCACCTGTCAACCTTTTTGGAGTTCAAGAGCTACCACCGGACAGTGACAGTACACCAAATCTAATTCTGAGGCTTCCTGTGGAAACAAGGACTTGCCTGAATATCACCTGCCTGCCCACTCTCCTTCAAGTCTCCTCAGTCGTCCTTTGATTCCAGTCTGCCTACCAACAACCCCTCTCTCGGCCTGCTATTCACCAGCCACTTACTGATTTTGTGGACTGTAAATAAACCTTTTAAACTTCATGTCAGCTGCCTGAGTTTGCTCTCTGGGCCCAGCCACAGTAAAACCTTGACAGAACGATGTAGACAACCCATGGACGCAGCAGACTGTATTAGGTGAACATGAGAAGGCTTTAACATCTATAGTTCAGCAGCTACGTGAAACACATCAGTGGGTAGAACAGATGGGTAATGCACTGTAAATAATTCACTCCAAACTGTCACCTTCTCCCATCCCGGAAGCTCCGGTTCAGGTCAGTGTGCCCTCTCCTGATGCAGTTGCCTTTTCACAGCCATCCCTATCTCACCTGAACTATCTGGTGGAGAGCCAGGTCACTGGGGTGGATTTTTGCTTTGGTACTCACTACTGTTTCAGTGCTCTCCACGGGCCTTCTCAAACAATTGTTCACAAAATACTACTGTTAAGGGTCTGGGCACTCAAATACACTAAAGCATATTTACTATGAAACCCTATAGAGTCTGTGTCCTACACAGTATTCATTAAGAAATCTCAAGTTAGTTTGTGAACACTCTCTAAATGAGGAAGAAGCAGCTTGACATGTATTCAACCTGCATCAAAGTCTGTAGCAGAGGTTCTACTGAGTCCAGGGTAATGGCTGAGACAGGGTTGGAGAAAAAAAGCCCTAAGATGGACATTCTATGATACCCTTAATGAGCAAATGAAGGATGAATTGGCCTCTTGCAATAAGTGTTTTGAGGAATTATAGCCCTTGCTGACCTTATCGATACCCACGTCAGAGAACGTGTACAAGAAAATGGGACCATTTCCAGTCTCTGCATCTTACCACCCTGCCTCTTCCCTCAAGCCGTCTATACAATCTTTCCGGTCCTAAACACCTTGCCATGGATAAATACATCAAGGACTCCCTTGACAGCAGCATCATTCAACCGTTCTCCACTCCAGTGGGTGCGGGTTTCTTCTTTGTAGAAAATAAAAGAGATTCTGCGACCCTGCATTGACTATGAGGGTTAAATCAAATCACTGTAAAAAATAGGTATCCTTTTCCCTTAATCACCTCAGCCTGTGAGCCACAGCATTCACAAAATTAGATCAACGTAATGCTTATCATTTGTTCCATGTCCGGGAGGAGGATGAATGGAAGACAGCATTTAACATTCCATTAGGTCACTATATATGGTCATGACATTTAGTTGAACCAATGCCCCCACTGTCTTTAAGGCCTGGTCAATGATGTCTTAAGAGACGTTTGAAACATCTTTTTGTTTGTTTTTTGGATGATACCTTGAGACCCTCGAAGAACTTCATGTCTCTGCAAGCAGGTACTACAGAGACTACTTGAAAACAAACTCTTCGTTAAGGCCAAAAAATGTGGAATTCATGCTAACCATGTGACTTTTCTTGGAGACGGAGGTGAAAGCTGTAATTGACAGGCCTGTCTCCGCATCCTGGAAACAGCTACAACGGTTCCTTGGATTTGCAAACTTTAAATGCTGCTTCATCAGGAATTATAGTCAAGCTCCAGTACCATTAACCGACTCACTTCCTTTTCCAGGCCATTTAAATGAAATGGAAGTAGGAAGCAGATCAAACATTTCAAATGATCAAAGACAGGTTTAACTCTGCACCTGTACTGAACCATCCCGATCTGTTAAAACAATTCATTATTGAAGCGGGTCTCTCGGGTGGGGACAGTGCTAATGTACAGAAGCCGACGATAAGCCGCATGCCTTCTTTTCTTGGCACTTGCCTCCAGCAAAAAACTATGACGTATTCAACTGAGAGTTACTTGCAATCAAAGTAGCTTTAGAGGAGTGGAGGCACTGGCCAGTGAGAGCTGAAATACTATTTATTGTATTGACTGATCATAAAAACCTAGTTTATCTCCAAATGACTCAAGACAAGCAAAGTGGCAACTATTCTTTATATGTATGGCTTTATTTCAACTTTACCATAATTTATCTACCTGGCTCCTGAAATGTGAAACCTGATGCTTTGTCTCGTCAATTCTCCACATAGTCAGACCCTGTTGAACCAGAACTCATCTTGCACATTCCAGTTCATATCTAAAGCTTGGAAAGCATTTTGTGAGGCCCTGGGTGCTAGCGCTAGGCTAACCTCACCCTGACAATCTTCTTTTTTTTTTTTTTTAGTTTAAGAGCCACTGCTGGGTAATCACAGTCACAGTTTTAATTACATGACTTCCTCTGAAAAAAAGGAATTACCTGAAAATCACCTGCCGGACCACTCTCCAACAACTCTCCTCAGCCTCCCTCAGATTCCTGCCAATAACCACTTTCTCAGTCCGACTTTCACTGCTGACAAGTAAACACTCAAAGACAATCTGAGCTACTGCAGTCAGATTCTCTCTGCCCGACTTTGCTAATTCCCTTTGTTAATCTCCCCACACCTTTCCAGAATACAGAGGTCATCTTCCACACAGGTCATCAGCCAGGTACTGATTTTGTATACTTTGTACATAAACCTTTTAAACTTCATGTCACTTGTCTGATTCCCTCTGAGTCCAGCCACAGTAAAACCATGACACTATGTGGCCATATGCTTTGCATATCAGGAGTTCAGTATCATTCTTGTCAATGTGTGGCTCAGTTTTTATCAGCCGCTTCACATGCAACACATGCAGCCTAACATACAATATAAGTTTTGTTCATTTTTCTCTCTGTTATTTTATTGGGAGGGGGTGTCGTTTTTTTGCCTTCTTATATTCCTGTCAGTTTGACTTCCTTTGATTGTTTTCCTGCCTTTTTCAATGTTTGCTTTGCCCTCATTAGTATCACTTGTTTTAATCTAAAACACCTGTTACCAATCAGTCTTCTCGGTGTACTCATAGTAGATTTTTAGTGTCCCAGTGTTCTCCAGTCGTAATAGTATTCCCCATCACACCTTTATTAACCACTGCATGACCAAGGCCTGCCTGGATTGTTTACAGTGTTTACAAACTGTGTTTTCACTTTGTAGTTAAATAAGCTAGTAATTCCACTCCTTCTCTGTACATGTGTATCAACCTTGAAGTATTTAAAAATCCATGTTCACGGGCACCTCTTAGCACTTTGCAATCTTTATCCTCTGACACCGTTTGGATTGTTGATTTTTAAAAAACCACAAACAAGAACATCCCATTGTGCCAGCTGTACTGATGGAACTCTTCTTTTTATTAATATGAAAAATCATTTTTTTAACAATTGCCAAGTGCTTACACTTCCCTTTATAATACATTATGTAAAGGGCCCTGATATACTAATATTATGATCTGTGTTTATATGAATGAACTAAAAAAACAACTATTACTCAATGTTTGTGGCTACTAGATAACATGAAGTAAAATTATAACAAGCTTGGGCGCTTCTGCGCGAGTTTCTTACCCTTCTTTCCGATAGTAGAGAGCGTATGTAGTAGGCAGGCCCCCATCAGATCCTGGCTTCCACCAGCATGTGAAGGTCTCTTTCTCTGGAGAACGGCATTTGATCTCTGTGGGCTTGCCAGGTAAACTATAACCTAAGACAGATATTAGATGGAAACAAGGAAACATAGGAATTTACTAGACTACATCCTAAACAGTGTGTCAAGCCTAAGCAATGAAAAAAGGCGAAATTTTAAATTAGATGAGAAGATGAAAGAAATAAAACTTTAACGTGAGTTGAGAGTAATATGAAACAAAAAAAATATCCACAGATGAAACTCAGCGTTGCTTAGTGCTTATTAATTATGCAGATCTGGCTCATGTGTTAACCAGCTAGATCACACCTCTCGGATATCTTAGCTCATTGTCAGAAACCTAAGAAGGTGCTAAGACTGAGTTTCAAGCCAAAACACTTACGCGTTCCGTCTGTGTGCGGCACAAAGGCTGGCAGCAACAACAGCAGGAGAACTTCTCTGACTTTCGTCATCATTGCACCACAAAACCTTGTTGGGCTGAAAAAAACGAGAGAAGGAAAGGAAGAAAGAAAGGTGAAGACGGAGGACTTGTCTGATCTGCCCTCTGGACAAATCAGTTGACCCACAATGTTGATTGCACATCTTGTATTGAGTTACAACACACTTGAATGACAAACAAAAACTGGAACATGCAGCCCGTGTGGTTTCTTATTGTGACACTAACCTGTTTGACGGTGAAGTGTTACATGCAGCGCTAAAATTAGTTCAAAGCCCTCCGCATTTAGAAACAGACGGTGTGAAAAGATTTTAACCACAGGTGAAATAACGTTATAGTCAGTGGTAAAGAAATATCCAATATCGGATACGTTGGATCAGTTTATGCTGAGAAACCATTTCGATCAGTTGCTATGAATATGAATCATAAGCCAAAATGGTAAACAAAGTATCTGAGTAAACGAAGAGTAAAAAACTGATGAAAGACGAAACACCTTCTAGAGGATAATGTGCTGTTTCACTAAGGATTAAAAAAAAAAAGCATCCACTCTGTCTCTGACTACCTCTACCAGCTGGCACACACAGCGTAACTGATTGCATAATCTGTGGTCGGGCTTTTGCCCCGACAACACACACAGCAGGAGGCTGATTTGCCTTGCTGGAAACTGGCTTGACTCATCTTCTCATGACTGGAAAATCTGCATTTGCTTCGGCATGTGCTGATGTAGTATCAGTTATTACTCTGCACGACCCTTTATCTCTAAAGCCATTGGACGGCAGGGGTAGGGTAGATGCAGGGGGTATTAGTTAGAGGTTAAATAGATGGGAGAGCTAATGTTGCATGAGCGATAAGGCTGACAAAAAAAAAAAAAAAACTTCCCTCACATGTTATCTCACATGCTGCCTCCCTTTTCTTTCATTGCTGGGCCTGAACATTTGTTAAGCCAGGATTTGACATGTCAAATGCAAGGATCCTTTGACCAACCCCCAACCACCAGTACATCCAAGAAAAAGATCAAATATAAAGAGGGGCATGATCACACTTGAAGTGCTTTTTGTGTGTTTTTTAAGGGAGCACTTGATGCAGTTTAACCTGAGCATATGCAAAAATATGCAAATAACACTTTTTCTTCAACACAAAGCTCTGAAAAACTAGAAAAAAGGGAGATTCAAAAATGAGAAAATTTGTGTAAGGGTAGTGTGCAACTTGCTTCTTATTTGCATGTGAAAAAATAAAAAACAGGACAGAGGCCCTGTTCTGTGATTAGACTTTTTTAAAATCAAGAATATAAAATAACCATTTCATTACAAAGTGTCCAAACTGAGCTGTTTGTTTTAAAAGGTGCCGCCTTGACTCAAGAGATCTCCTAGATGTTCGTGGCATGTTTGCCGTCACCTTGACATGTCATGACATGATGTGAAGTACTTCACTGCGCATGCTTTAATGCGCCGACACTGAGCATGGGTGGAAACATGAGAGCCCTGCAATAAAATTGCATACATGCTATTTCTAAGAATGACAACCTAACACACGCCGTGAAAAAACACAAAACTAGACAAGCATAGGCACAGACTGACCTTTTTTCCATGAAATACGTCAAGTTTTTTAATGGCATGTGTTTCACAACAGCTAAATTCTACATTAACAACGTGCTGAGGTGTAAGGCGCAGGTGTGCTTGGGCATGTGCTGTCATATTATGTGTAGTAGTATGCTAACCTACAGTATTACTAACTTGTTACTAACTTAAAAAAAAAAAAAATTATTATTATGGTGCCTTCATTTTACTAACGTCACCATGATCTGATAATTGGCATTAAGATCAAGGCACTGGATTAGCCTCCTGCTGCATATAGCCTTCTTACATAACCAGTAGTCCAAACTGAATAAGCTGCCAAGCTGGAAAAGTGCTGGCCAACAGAGTGAAGCTCTTCCCTCAATATTACTGAATAATCCTCACTGTATGGATTCTCAAGTGTGTTTTGCAATAAACAAACAAAAGATTTTACCACCACATTTATGAATTTTAAAGTTTGCTGTAGTACTTTTTTAACATCTTGCCTCTTATTAATATCATTCCTGACTATGATGAGACCTGCATCATGCATTATGGAAAAAAAACAGCATTCGAGTCACTAACATGTAATGTAACATTCAAAAAAAAAAAAATGCTGCACGTCTTGAGAATGAAACCCAGACATGTCTGTTCGTGATCTGTAAATAAGTAACTGCATTTACTGTCGACCTCTAAGGTAAAAAGGCAAACGTGCAGAGAGGTGGTAGAGTTGCTGTTGTGCATAAGGTTTCATCTAAAAAATAGAAATAAAATGAAAAGCTGAGAAATCAATGCCCGATAAACCTTCTGTTGGTTTTAGCATGATCTCCACACGCAATGTAAAGATGACGCATGACAAAAATATCCAAAATCACTCAGTCGGGTTACTGTGAAAATAGATTCATGCTAGAGATTATAAATCATTCAGGATTTTTGTTTGTCAGCAGTCTTCCAGTGTCATGGTACACGTGCTGGATGATGAGGTGGTAAAATGCGAGCAGTGAAGCATCGTCTGATGTGGTTGTACAACAGCTCCACAGCACAACAGCTCACCTTTGCACAGCTGATGAATAAAGAACATTCCTTTCTTATGCAGAGTCACACTTTCTCAAGAGACCTGACCGACACAGCTGAGCTATGGGAGACGTGTTTCTGGGAACCTGTCTTTCTCTCCTGGAAGGTTATAGAGATTGAGCATGCAAAGTGCCCAACATATCTTCAATCATTTACTACGCATCCACTTATGTCCTTATTTAGAAAATAACAATTTCCCCTCCTTGGGGCGTAAGCACGTCTGCGGAGGCACTAATACATTTGAGCGTTTCGGGGCAGTATCGTTGAGAAGATATCGATTTAACAAGCCCGCAGGTTTGCCATGATCTAGCTCGCAAAGTTAATTATCTTTGTAAAAGGATAATAAACTGTACAGTACAGTTTGTATTTCTGACCATGACTTACTGCACAGTCTGGGTGAAGAATATATAAAGAAGATACCATAAATCACTCGGATTGCATTCCTGCTCAGACTGGAACAGACCAAACACATTTCCTGGTACTGAAGTAAAAACCGGTTTGAACACTAGTTCCAGTGGAATTCGAGGAACAATCAAGGGTAGAAACCAGCAGAAAAACGACATGCAAAGTTGTGTCAGAGCAGTTTTCGCAGCAATTAAACAAATCTAAAAAAGACAACCTCTGAAGTTAACAAAAACATGGCCTTTGATCACTTCAATTGACCTTGTTAGGACAAACTTTAAGTCACACAGTTGGCAAATTACACTGACCCGTGCTTGTGTTTAAGAAGGTTCACTGTACTGTAGGTAGCTGTTTTCAGTCCATATTTTGCCATAAATAACCAGCAGAGCGAAAGGTCTGTTGGGGATCCAGGCTTTTATTGTCATTGTGGCACTTGTGGAAAAGGTTCACGATAACACTGAATACACTGGCAGGGCTTAAATTACACAGTAACTAGGATATAGTGGCATCCCACTAAAATGACAGCTTGGCTTCTTCTTTTTCTTTTTAAAGAAAAACACAGCCCACCAATCTGGTTATTCATCACTTGAATAAAGTCAGTGCAACAACTTTCACATGTATCAAAGTCCGTATTATGCTTTTTGTGTTTTTCCATGTGTTATGTGCCAAATGGAAGGTTTGGAAAAGTAAGAAAGGCCCAATCATGTGCGGAAGAACTTCTTCTCTCCTAGTGAAAACACTGCTCTTTAGGGGGTCTACTAGAGCTGGGCGATAGAACGAAAACGATATGTATCGCGATATAACTTTTCTCGATAGAAAAATTAAACTATCGCGATAGACCTCGCCGCTCTTGTCCTCTTAAAAAAAAAGAAAAAAAAAAGAACAGCCAATCCAAATTAAGTAGCGCAGAGCCGAACCAATCACAGCCACAGCGTCACGTCAGTTACGTACAGTGTAAGTGCCAAGCCGCACATGTGTATTTGTTTGGGAAGCAGCCAGCCACCCTACCGCCAGTGTAATTAAGGAAAAGAGTGAGCCGACTAGAGAAATCAACCGAGCGTGACCGAAGGTTACCGAAGAGAAAACAGATGATGGTTCCAACGCCGGAGAGATTGTCGAACGGAAGAGACAGAGAAGTTCCGTAGTGTGAAGGTATTTCGGCTATTTCAAGTCTGACAAAAAACAGAGTAGCGCGCACTGTAAATTGTGCCAAAAGCAAGTCTGGAAATACAATAAACTGGTGCATGCGCTACGTCCACACGTACCCGGGTATTTTTGAAAACTCAGATTTTTCTATGCGTTTGCACCTTTCGTCCACACGTAAACGGCGTTTTTGGTCACTGAAAACGAAGATTTTTAAAAACTCAGTTTTTGCATTTACGTGTGGACTAGAAAAACGGAGAAAACGCAGCGTCAAAGGTGTGCGCCACGTTATTGTTTCGGTGAAATGAATTTCTACAATACTGTTAATTCTACTCTCTGCAGTGTTTAAATGCTTACATATACACACAGTTACTGTCCGTCCACACATACGACTCGGTTCTGCTTCTATGCCCCAGCTTTGTTTACTTTTTCCCACCGAGGCTTCTAGACTTCTGATTGGCCAACATTTCTGCACGGTTAGGAATCTAGCGCCACCTGCTGCTTTGGCATGTTCATAGCAGCGTTTTCCTTCATTTCTGCCTTTATGTGTGGACGGGATTATTTTTTAAAACGAAAACGGAAAATCTCCGTTTTCAAAAATACCCGTGTACGTGTGGACATAGCCTCAGTCTCTGACTGGAAGCGCTAATTCGTCATTCGGCTTTTGTCAGACTAAAGTAACTGTTAAAACTGTTTGAAAAGCTAAGCTATACAACAAGGAGAGATTGAGAATTTCCTTTTAGTTCTCAGTTTATTTGATATTGACAAAAGTTAGTCAGTTTTGTCTGTTCTTCTGTAAAACAAACTAAGATTTATTTTTAGAATTAATATTTTGTTTTTAAGTGGAATTGACAATTTAGTCTGTTTCGTTTGTTCTATTTTGAAACTTAAACGCTTTAGCGGCTGCCTTTTGTGTAGTTTGCAATATTTGCCTTTATTTATCTGAAAAAGTCTCATGTTCCTTAAGTACATCTACCCTGTTGAATTTATTATGGGAAATAAATATTTAAATAAAAACAAGCTGCTGATTATTTCACATTTTACTTGTGAGCAACGGCACATTTAAATCTTACAAATATAGTTATTTGGCTTATATCGTGATAGATATCGTTATCGCCTGAAATGAAAAAAACATATCGTGATATGAAAAAATCTTATATCGCCCAGCTCTAGGGTCTACACATTCCCTATTTTCAGCAACTTAAAGCCATCACAGGCCGACTAACCATTGGTGATATGAAATGGGCAGGCACCATTTTCTGAAGCCAATATTAACTTAGAGGTGACTAAATGACAACCAGAGGGCAAATCGTATGCACAGTGAGAATCTGGAATGCTCCTTAGCAATCAAAGCATAAAACTTTTGATACGTAGATGGGCCTGAAAAGCCCACCCAGCTTGTTGTAGTCCTGTCTTTTCTTCCATTACTTATTTACATGACTGTGTGACACATTTCCATAACGTCTGCTTAGCTAATCAAAGAATGACCAGCCATCTTAACCAAAACCAGATTCAGCAAGCTGCCTCCCTGTTGAAACTTCTTCTGAGCTCCACTAATTCTAAGGTATGGGCACCTTAAGTGCTCTGCTAAGTAGCTGCTCTTTTACCTACTTCAAGACAGGGTGCATAGTGCATAAAATGGTGTAAAACATTTAAAATATCTCATAAAGACTCTTAGTTGTTGTTGTTGTTTTTTTTAAATACAGTGTGTGGGGCCTGATGGGGGCCTTTAACTTGCATTCTTTCTAATGGCTAACAGGGGGCAATGTTCTGGTTTCAAAAAGAAGTGCGGACATTGAAAAACAAGGGAAAGTGGGAAAACAAGCCCTGCTCCGTAATCTCGGTCATCGCTTTCCTAATGAATTTGTTGTCTAAATAGCCCGTAGCCCATGGATAAAGCAGGACAATCTGTAATGTGTGCTCAACGCTGGTAACTACGGGCAGTGCAGCGTCCCTCTGTTTGTCAGACAGATACTAAAATTTCAAATCTGAAACACCACGACGGCAATGGCAAAAATGCTCAGCTTGAGGTGTCACAACAGCCTTTGCTAAAGGCTATTTCCATCCTCTTTTACATACAGACTGTGGATGCATTAATCCATCACTCGGAACTGGGCTTGTTGAGTGCTGCTAGGATAACTGCTTAGACCAGTGGCAGTGTCCATTGTTTATCTGTTATCATATCAATAAAGGCAAAGCAGCTAAAACAGAACCAAAACAGTAAAAACAGATCCTGCTCTCTCTCTTTACTCTTAAGTACAGATCACAGAGAAAATCCCTCATGGGTTGCCTCTTTCTTTCAGGAACAGCTTTTTTTCTTTAGCTTTACTTCATTGTTGCATTATAAGGTGCCGCTTGTGAAATTATACTTGCCTCATTTTCTTGGCCAACCTGTATCCTGTGACCGCTTGTGTTTTTGAGCCACTCAATTGCAGGAAAAGAGATTTAAGGACGTCAGACCACGCACTCCTCACTACCTGCAGCAATAATGATCCCACTGATCTTCGGCCTTGCTTGGTTTGTGCGATAAGGGGGATAACATGTATTTATTAACCACTAGGGCCGTCTTTGAAGAGAAATATTCCTTCGAGTGTCTCCTGTGAGCTTCTATGACAAATCTAGTTGGTCTGAAGCTCCATGTTTTTAATGTTGTAACAATTTTCTGATAGTGAAATGTCTCCTTAAATATCTAAGGCATATGTTAGACTTGATGTAGGTGGCTCTAACAGCGTTTAATTGTATCTGCTGCCTTGTGCATTTCTTATAGTGGGTGTATATTGACATCTTGTGAAATATTAAAAAGCATAAACTAACTGGGCTGAATGCACTTGGAAAGTGGTGGGAGACCAAAATGAATGCCTAATTGGAAACTATAAGAAGTGTGTATCAGCATGTAATTCCCTTACAAAACAGCATTGGAAAAGAGGTTCTGAAGGCGCTTAATTTTTGTGAGTCATCACTAATTTCGACGCCAATTACAACCTTTTCCATAGCAACAGTTGCCGCAAAAGCACCAGCTACTATTGATGTTAATATAAAGCCAGTCAAACATGCACCTAACATGCACACACAAATGATATCTGTTAAACTGAACAGGCTGGATCTTGGAACACTCTCACTGCCCTTGCTCTTCAACTGTGATCCTTACTTCTTGGTTTGCAGCATGCGTGACAAAAAAAGCCAAAACGGCAGAAGTGATGAAACTTACATGGACTTTATATCACAGCATCAATCTGCACGCAATAGCTGTGGTTTTATAAAGCCTCAGTGTGGGTTGCTAATAATAGCGGAAAGACTCGGTGAGCTGCAGGGAACTAACACTGTAATCCAGTACTGAGTTGATCAGCTTGAGGCTATAAGGGCCAGTGGCCTTCCTCACCTTTTCCTAACTAGACTTAAAGCCAATAAAGCATGGAACAGACACAGGAAACCTCATTACTCCTCTGACCCCGCGCATCATCATCATCATCCTCCCACACCGTGAGGGAGGACGACAATCTCAACCCCTGCGTGTCAGCTGTCAGCAAGGGAATATGTCTTCATCCAGAACTAAATCCTATTACACTCACTTTTTATAACTCCGCAGGCAGCGCGCCGTGTCACCTCCACGTCACGCACACTTGTTCCTGATAATAAAATATGGAGTATGCATAGAGAGCATTTATGACTTACCTGGATCGAAAGTTTTTCAGTCTCCGCCGCCGTAGCGACTTCGCCGCAGGCTCCCGGGAGAGCGGGCTTTTAGACACCGACCTGTGCCTGTGATTTAACGCGTTTCACCGACAGCTGAGAAGAGGAGCGCGCGCCGGTCAGCTCAGCCGTCCTGTCAGCGAGATTATCGCCAACATCCACTGTGCGCTCTGCGCTGATCCCGGGTAGGGTGGGGTGTGGTATGGCAGCTCCGCCCATGTACGGTTTAGGTTGACACCGCGGACCTGAGGTTTCGAGGAAGTACTACCGACTGGCAGAACAAGTTTGACATGGAGCCATCAGAAGGCGTAACGACATGTGGGGGAAAGAATAAAAGACAAGAAGAAAGAATACGTTTAGTGTAAAGTCTTGTAGATAAAGTTGATTTATGAATGTTTAATCAGTGGGAAATAAGTGCTGACAGTATTGCCTCTCCCTCTGTCTCTGTCTGTCTGCCCCCCCCCCCCCTTATTTGTACACGTGTTTGTGTCACCCTGTGGAATTTGGTTACATGTTATGGTTAAGGTAACGTTCCAGGAAATCAACGATCGCGCAAAGCAAAATAAATGGCCAGGTGTGTTTGTGTGCGAAGGTATACGTTTGGTGGATGCCCTGCACACAAAAACGACATAAACATCAACAACAACATGCATTTGGATTCATTTTTTTTAAACCCCCACATGGTTCATGACAGAGATGACTGTTATTTACCCGCTGTTCATGGTGTTTGTACCCATGTGCTTTAAGTGTCATGCTTTTGTGTGTGCATACGTGTGGTTGTGGGGGCAAATTGCCCGCCCATGTGCTTTTTTTCCATACAAGAATGTAACATGTAATATTCTATCTTTTCTAGTTACATTTCTTTTCTTTTTCCCTTTTTTTTTGCACTTTAATGAAAATCTTGTGAAAGTGCGTCAAAGACTCGGCACTGATGGTTTGGTAAGGGTTACTACCACACAAGTTTCAAGCTGAGGAGAGCCACGGCCTCTTTGCTGCTACCTTAGTAACTTTTACCCCCTCTGTGTATTAACAAACATTGTAAAACACATAATCAGACAATCAGAACAATGTGTCCTGCTAAAACAGCGCTCGTCCTGTCCTCTCACGGGGAGCTGTAAACATTGTAAGGTCTCCCGGTAGGCTTTATTTGAAGTCCTTCTTCCTCTCTTCATAGGCGACACCGTCCGCCCGTGATTCACTGTTTTAATTTATGCTCCAGCCATGTGCGAGTGGAAGATTTGTCCCTACTGTTCCCTCTCTCTCTCTCTCTTTCCATTTTTATTAGCAGCCTCAGGCCTTTATACGGGGTCATCCTCACATAGGTTATACACAGGACGAGTCAGCTACCACTAGCCGCAGAGATTGAATGGGAAAGAACTGAGTGCATTTTTTAACTGTATATAAAAAAGAGTAAAACACAAAATTGCACAGAAGCGTGCAAATAACTTGAAAGAATGGCGCATTGTTGAAACTTTACAACAGGATGTAGCATAACCCTGAACATTATGTTCCCGCTTGAAAGACGGCAAGTATCTCTATGTGTATCTCAAAAAAAGATCCCAAACCTGCCGCTGCAGCGTTTGCAGAAATGAATACACTTCTAGCGACTTTGTTTCCAAATCGACTCTGGATGCAGCGAGGATACAGACGGAGACAGGAACAGATTCCTTTCGGGATCTTTAGGGATCGTACGTGTATCCGATCATTGTCTGTTGACGTAAATTTCGTTTCTTCTCATTGTGTTTACTTTCTTGGAAACCACACCTAGAGAGATCTAACAGGCTCAGATGCCAGCCCACATGTGAGTTTATGCCAGAGATGGGGTCCAAAAGAATAGAAGGTCCTGGAAAGCGGTAATGAAATAGGCGCTATTGTGTATATGTCACGATAATAATATTGATAATAAAATGAAAGGCCAGCAGATATTCTATACGCTTTGCATCTATTTGGATATATAAGCGTTGTGAAACCTTGTTGTTGTTCATGCAGTATTTTTATTCCATTTGCAAAATTTCAGTGATTTTTTTTCGCTTTTTTGGGGTTTCTTTTTGAGACCCTTAATATACACAAATATGTACCATATCTGCAATCAATCACTACAAAAATCCTCTCGTATTTTTCTTGTTCAACAAATGAAAACAGCATTATAATGCTTTTGGAGACATCGATGAGCTTCTGAGCGACTCATTCACATCAGAAAAAAACTATTTGTGAGTAATCACACAGTAAAAGCACGCTTTGTGTTGGAGGCCTTCAAACCGAGGCAGCTTGGGAAATCTCTCTTCGTCCCCCTTTTCAGCTCTGCTTACATGCAACAATGTTATATAATATGGCCATCTGCTCTTCCACGTGGATTCAAAACTATCACTGCCACACAGGCATGTGTAAGCCAAGCCAGTCCACATCTGAACAAGGATGCTCCTTGATGGGATGCCCTCCGTTGAATTGCTCACAGGTGCGCGGATTTATAAACCCATTTATACACGTTTCCAATAAACTGCGTCTTTTTGGGGAAGTTGTTTTGGTATGCGAACCTTCGTGTCTGTGCACGTCCGTTTGTGCTGGCGTTGTTGCAGTGGAATAGGCCTGAGGCACGTCAAGCAACCATAGATGAAGGACTGAGGTCCCCCTCGAAAATAACAGCAGCGAAGGGGGGTCTAATTTTCATAGATGTCTGCGCTCTCTTAACTAAAAGCACACCAGTTCGAGGACTGAACGGGTCAAACAAAACAGCAATTACAGCTCTACAGTGGCATCTAGTGTTACTTCCTGGAACTGTTTCTTTTCTAAAGATTAAAGTCTGTTAAATGGACCAAATCAAATAAAACAGATCTGCTTTGGCTGATAAAAGCCGGGTGTTTGTCGCAGGCCTGTCTGTATGCTCTGGTAGCTTTTAATTAGGGAAGAAAGCGTCTAGACTGTAGAAGAGGACCGGTGTTGCTCCTGAAAAGTGAAACAAACACACACACACAGACACACAAAAAATCATTTGCAGTCTTCAAATGTTGGCGCGCTATGAATGGAAGATCAATGAAAGACAAACATACCTCATCAGATCATCAGATTCATTTCCTGTATTCATTGCACACATTAGTCAGTGCATAGTGTGCAAGTTATGATAAGGCTTCTTTAATAACGGGTTTACATGGTGTAATCAATCTATTATTAATGGTTCAGGTATCTGTTACTATGCCAGCTGCAGGGTTTGGCATGTCTAACCCTCTAAAGTGCTAACTCTCCTTTAAAGTCTTGAGTCTTCAGCCAACCCTAGACATAATAGTTATAAGTTATAAATCCACCTTTGAAATATTGCCTCAAATTATTGTTAATATGTATGGAGGAGGTCAGGAGAGACGTACAACAATGAGTGTCTACAGCTAACCGTAAAACAGGGTGGAGGGTCTGTCATGATAGGAACTGCATTTTAGCCAGTGGTGTTGGAGATCTTGTCAAAATTGGTGGAATTGTGAATGCAGAAATGCACCATTAGGATTCGATCTGCAATGAAATATCATTTGGAAAGTGTCTGATTATCACCAGCTTTATTTTTCAGTGTCAGTGATCCCAAAACTCAATGCCAGTGTGGTTAAAGCATAGAAAAACACAAAGTGGAACACTATCAGTCAATGATGGGCCTCCCCAGAGCCTGGACATCAATATTACTTGACAGGAAACAGAACAAAAAGGCAGGCAAATTTAAAGAAGAAGAGCTTTGAATGCTCTTCATGAAGCCTGGAGAACTATTCCTAAAGACTAAAGAAACGAAAGGAAATGTTGTCATTTCTTTCTGTCATTGCAAATCATTTACTTGAACAAGCCTCTAATGTGTCGGAGTGTTACCAGAACAGATTTTTTTTTTCCACAGCAGTTCACATAATAGAATAATCGTAATTTTAAGTTTAAGTTTAAGTTTATTCGGTCAACAACAACAGATTAACATTTTACATTTTACATAAAAGTACTCAATCAAACAGTAACCGAAAAAGGAATAGGCTGAAGCCTTGTGGCTTATAATTATCCTGTCCTTTACCCCCATAGGAATAATCAAATCCTTAACCAAGAAAATAAATAACATTGATAAATAAGTTATGTAACAATTTGAAAAGAAATCAATGATAAATCAAGAAATTAAATCAACACAAAATTATTCATCAAGCCAAATTTCTATAACCTTGTATGATACAAATTTTTAAATTCTTCCTGAAAAATGTCTTCAGTTCATCATTAAGTCCATTCCATAATTTCACTCCCAAAACTGACACAAATCTATACTTAACATTGGTTCTCCTTTAGGTATTTCAAACACATAAGACCCTCTCTATCATATTTTCCATCTCTTAGTTGAAACATACTTAAAATACGAATTGGAACATTCTTTTTCATCACTCGATATGTCATTTCTAAAGTTTTAGAATATATAATGTCTATGAATTTTAACATAGATGATCCTACAAAAAACTGGTTGGTGGACTCCCTATATCCAACTTTATTTATTATTCTCATGGCTCTTTTTTACAATTTAAAAATTGAATCCTAATATGTTTTGTATGTGTTCCCCCAAATTTCCGCACAATAAGTCATATAAGGCAAACAAAGGCAAGTATACAATAAATAAAGGCAGTTCTTATTCAAAGAGTCTCTTGTTTTATAAAGAATAGAAACAGGCTTGGATAATTTCCATTTCACATGTTCTTTGTGGGGCTTCCAACAAGGTTTATCATCAATAATTACTCCTAAACATTTTGTCTCATATACTCTTTCAATTTCAACATTATTTAAATTCAATTTTACTTTAATATTACTTTTACTACCTCCAAATAACAGAAATTTTGTTTTACTTTCATTCAATGATAGTTTATTAAATACAAACCATCTATTTAACTTCATGAGTTCTGTTTCCACTGTTTTCAGTAATTTCTTTATGTCCTTTCCAGAGCAAAATAAATTTGTATCATCAGCAAACATCACATATTTTAAAGTATCACTGGCTGTACAAATATCATTTATATAAAGTAACAATAACTTAGGTCCCAAAACAGATCCTTGCGGGACTCCACAAGTTACTTTTCTAAGTTTAGATTTCATGTTATTAATACTCACATATTGGAACCTATTATTCAAGTAACTATTTAACCAAAATTGTACATCACCTCTTAAACCATACCTTTCACACTTCTGTAAAAGTAAAGAATGCTCTATCATGTATATCAACCTATTCCAAACTGTTTTTCATCCACAGCCGTTGCAATATTTTCAATAGATTCCATCACAGCTAGAGATGTTGAACGATTTCTTCTGAACCCATACTGATGATCATTCAATAAATCATTTTTATCAATTAAAGAATCTAGTTTGTTTGCAAATAGTTTTTCAAGAATCTTCGAAAATTGAGGCAGTAAAGATACCGGTCTATAATTTGACACAATCTGTTTATCACCAGTTTTATATAATGGGATCACTTTGGCAATTTTCATTTTATCTGGAAAAATTCCAGTTTGAAATGATTTGTTGCAAATATATGTTAACGGTTGAAGGACACTATAAAGAACTTCTTTAATTAGCGACATGTCAAGGTCGTCACAATCCATGGATTTTTTAGACTCCACCAACATACGTGATCGCACATGCAATAAAAGTTATAGTTGTAATTTTACGGTATACAATGAATATACAATACCTGACTCATCTATGAGCTGAGTTAACTCGATTTCCAAAAGTGACTCTCAGTTTTCGCCCATCCTGGACTCAATTAATTTCGTGATCCAGATCAGTACCTGCAGCGGACCAGACCTGCTGCTTGCTGTGACTGCAGCACGTGATTGGCTGCCTGTTACAAGCCCCGCCCACGTCACGATCCCCTTCGGGTTCTCCGTGACGTCAGTTAGGTGGAGATGGTGATATTATATGTGAAAACTATCTTACACATTCTGGCTATTTCAACAGTGAGACATAGTTCTACATAACACAAAAAGAGCGAGAAAAAAATTAAACGACCCACTTAATTTCGACGTCCTCTTCTTATTTAATTGGCCAGCCAGGCGCGTTAGGGAATTCAAGGCGCACTTTATTGGCTGAGTTTGACAGCAATCACGTGTTCTTGGCACACGATTGGCTGAGCTCTTAGGAGGAAGTCAAGTGTCACAACATTTCGGGAGGGATAAGCTCGGAGTTGACAAAAGCGGTTTGCCTCAGTCGAAACATTTCGCTACACTGTAATTTTTTTTTATTTTTTTCATTTCCAAGTTGGGTCCTGGACGGACCACGCGGGAAAGGATTACGTTATCCGGTTGAGAACCAACCACCCGCGGCGTGCCGAGGACTTGCTTTCACAGTGGACTTTACCTTCACAGCTCGGCACAGAGAGGAGAGTGGGACTTTATTGTTCAAGGCTAGCTAGCTAGCTTTGCAAAGCGGCTTGTTTTTGTGTGTATATAGCGTGGACCGCAGGCTATATGGCTGCGAATTACGAACCGATATATGGACTTTCAGAAGATGAGGTAAGCTTTAAACTCAACCGAGCCCATAAAAAGTATACTACAACCAGGAGTCTCTTCAAGAGGGGTGCAGCCAGAGATGGCCAGCGTTAGCCCGATAGGCAAGCTAACAACCCCTTACCCTGGATAACATTCCAGTGTAATGTTCGGCAGCTGTCAGTTCCTCCCTGTCTTCGTGTCCACTAGTTTTCTCAGCTCATTTTC